GGGGGGGGGGGGGGGGGGGCGGGCGGCGGCACGGAGCTACCGGGACACCGGGCTACCGGTGCCGGGGTCCGGTAGGGGGCTACCGGTAGGGCATGCCGAGTGCCAACGTACGTAATAATCTGAGAAAAATGTTTCTTTCCCAAGGTTTTCAACTTGCACAGCCACAGAGACTGCAATTATATAGCTGTGTAAATATATTTATGGGACGTGCGGTCATCCTCACAAGACAAAACATACGATGACATATTATTATTTGTCCGCCGATCTTTATGTATGACTAATTGCGATCATTTTAATTGTCAAAATCGCTGAAATTGCACATTTCCTGTTGAAATACGGGGTGAAACGTGATGTGCGGCAGCTGAACCTATGATTGCGCAATCCATCCCAAACTGGGCTGTTGGTGTCTGTCGGCGTATCGCTGAAATACATTTCTATAGTCTGATTTTGGAGTCTGGCTAATGTCTTCAAGTATGTCTGTCTGTCTGTCTATTTATTTCCCGGATATATTAGTGTGTGGTTGAATGGGTGAATAAGGTATATTAACTTAAAGCACTTTGGAGAAAGGTGCTTTATGGAGTTCACTCCGTTTTCTTTTATTAGTTTATGGGGCGTTCTGCCACATCCAAGATGGCGGACTCGTAGACGTATCCTTGCAACGGACTAACAGTCTCAACGCGGCTTCATCTTAAGTCTATGGTTCCGGTTATGTGCCGTTGCAGCGCAACAGGAGTCAGTTTGCGTGGATCGAGCTGTGGGCTGGTCGTGATTGGAGAGGAGAGTTTGGGCGCTGGACTGACGTGGCAGCCGAGGAAACGTCGGAAGCTTTCGGTGGTGGGACTGAATGGAGCAGAGGAGAGCAGTAGCAAAGTCAAAGCATCCAGGCAAAAGCAGCTGTTAGCTTGGATTTAAATCAGAACAATGCAATGGTGGATTTAGAAAGGAGTGACTGGAAAAGTATGGATTATAGCGAAGAGGAAGAGATGGATGATCAAAATGAAGGGAAAGAGTGGGAAAAGGTGGGGAAGGGTGGTAAGAAACAGCGAGCTGCTGAAAGAAAGAGGAAAAAGCGAAGTGAAGAAAGTACAGAAAGTACTGATAGTGAAGACATTGAGGGGAAAACAGAAGAGTTAAAAAATCTAAACATTATAGTAAGATTTGATGAATCTTACTATAATGTTTTCAATGCCCGGACCATACAGCTTTCTGCTGTTGCCATGGCTACAGTGCAACAGCAGTACGGAGAGCAACGGAGTCCAAAAAGGTCCGAACCAAAACGCCTATTTCCTCGTTCACACAGGAAGTCTCTCTTTTATAACGGCGGCGCATTGATTTCTCCCCACAACAATAAAAGAGACGCGCTTTCAGGAGATCATTGAGGCGTTAGAGAAGCAAACGGCTGGTGAAAAACCCCTGGGTTGTGAAGAGGAGCGGCTGGTGGCGATGCTTACGGTCGGTGTTCGCTACATGCTACAAGCTAAAGTGGGAGGCTGACATTTGTTTGGCTCATTTAAAGAGCTGGGTAATGTGAACGTGTCTCCACCTGTGCCGTGTTTACAAATGGATTCCCCCTTCTTTGGTCAAAGTATGCGTACATATACGCTCACGTGTCATAAAAAGCCTTAAGCAGTGACGAAAAAGGCCTTTTTTTAACAGGAGTTCTTTGTTCTGGCTTCTGTAAAACACACACGGCTTGTTTTTGTTAGCACAGATTATTCCGGGAGCGCCTCCGGTGCCCGGAGAGCCAAGAGAAGGAGCTCCGGGGAGTCACCGGGGGACAGCCAGGGCCTGCGCTCCTCGGGGAGGCAGATCAACGTCCGGGTGAAGCGCACCAACAATCCGCCACCTGGACAGGTGCGCTGCGGAGTCCAATTTTATCCGTGTCATCAAACGCACCACAAAACATGTGTTTTAATCCCAGTAACCACTGTGAGCCTCGTGGTCATAATTCTGACACATTTTAGGGTTTCTGCATCAGACAGCACACCCCTTTATAGATGGATTTAAAGTCACAGACCCACTCAGGTAATTTTTGCTGGATTTCTTCCACTATCTGTCTGCTGGAGAGAGTTTTTAGGCCCAACTCTTCTTCCTTTGTCCTCCACTGGTCCAGTTTCTTCAGATGTTTTAAGGACTGGTTGCTCACCAGACTGAGATCTACCACTACGACAGAAGGTAGAGGGAAAGCGGCGCGGCTTGTGTTTGGGGTGTCAGGAATGAGACAGTAACGCTGCCCATTTCTGCCCCCCCACCCCCCCCGACAGTCACAAAGACGGCTATGAGACCTTTGCCTCCTGGAAGAAGGTGTGGACCAGCAATGGAAAGAGCGAACCCAGCCTTAAGGCCTTCATGGCAGACCAGCTGCTGCCCTTCTGGGTGCGTGCCGGAGGTTTCCCTCACAAAGCCGAGTTGCATCACATCAAAGTTCAGTTCAGGCAGCTGGACGTGAAGTTTTCTAGAAGACGTTTGGCCTCTCATCCAAGAAGCTTCCTCAGTTTTAACAGATGGTGGAGCTCTAAGGTTAATATACTGTAGGTGGAACTAAAGAATTATGGGAAAAGCGAAGGTGACAGGACTCAGCTGCTCACCTGAAGGCTGAAGGACACTCGTTTGAGGAGGACAACATCCACATTCTGGCCCAGGAAGACAGCTGGTTTGAAAGAGGGGTCCAGGAAGCCATCTTTGTTAACCTGGAGAAACCATGACTCACCTGAGGTGCTGGTCTCAGACAGAAGCTGTCATCTCCTTCCAGAACACTTTCAGGAACAACAACCAGCAGATTCAGCTCTCAAATATGTGACCCGAACCACTCTGACAGGGAGTTACCGACCCATCAGAGCCCCCTAACCACCATGAACCCCCCAGGTGACCTCCATGGCCCCCCCAGCAGGAGGGACCAGAGCCACATTTTCCCCTAATTCTTTAGTTCCACCTACAGTATATTAACTTCAGAGCTTCACAATCAGTTAGAGCTGAAAAAGCTTCTGGATCAGAGGAAAACTTGACCTCCAGCTGCCTGAATGTGACTTTTCAAGCTTGACCTGCAGGACTGAGGATCTTCAGATATGTTATCCCTGCTGACTTGCTCCCTTCAGGTTCAGTGCACCAAGCCGGACTGCAGGAAGTGGCGTCAGCTGACCAAGGACATCCAGCTCACCGCCTCACTGGCAGCAACGTATCGCTGCGGGATGAAGCTCGGCAACGTCAAGGTGAGCAGGAAGAAAACCCCTAAAAAGCGTCCGCTTTCTGCTTGCTTCTGAGCATTCCTGTTAAAACCCCGTCTGTCTGTTTGTCTGCCTGCAGAGCGAGGGACCCGACCACTGCTCCCAGCCAGAGGACTCGGTGAGCTTTCCTGTCATTGCTGAGCTTAATTGGCAATACAGTAGAACCTCTACATACAAATTTAACTCTTTCCAGAACCTACTTTGTATGTTAAAATATTTGTATGTTGGTTCAAATATTCCCATCAGAATACACTGTAATTCCTATAATTCGTTCCACAGAGGCTAAAGAACGGAAGTAGAGGTGGAGACTGAGATACAGGACATACCATAACTTAAGTAGAGGTTCTGCATTATACAGCCAGCAGAGTTAATTTTATTCTCTCATTTCCTTTGTCACTAGCTGGTTGAGGTAGTTTGGGTTGAGCAGCCAGCTGGACCTCTTCTTCTTCTTGGATCCTAAAGGCGTTTCTCCTCTCATCCTGAATGCTTCTTAAAGGGGGAGTCGGCTTAAAGCAGCTAAATGAAACTAATGTACTGAGCAGTTGTTTAAAGTGATAAATTATAGCAGCAGAAATGGAAAAACACAACAGATAAGTAATACAATGAATAAGTGAGAAGTGTTTTTTCTCGTTCAAACGTCCGGCTGGGACAGCTGGTGGGAGTCTTTGGGTGTACACGCACCCACAGCCTGGAGGTGGAGGGTTGTGATGAGCCAGTTTGTGTTTGAATGGCCGATGTGAGCCGAAAAGTTCCTGTAAACATGTTGAGGCTCCCATCCCTCAGGTTCAGGCTTAATCATTCCCTGTTAGCCACAGAGCTGATGCGTCTTCACCCAGGCATGGTCCGCAGCCAGTTTCTCTATAGAAACCATCTTTCTGGATGAGGGATGAGCTGTATTCAGGTTCCCAGAAGCAGTCCAGCTGCCTTGGCTCCGGCTCTGCTCGCCTGCATGGCGAGCAGAGCCTCCCATGATCTGCTTCCTGTGTCGTCCCCGCAGAGAGTGTCCGAGGTGACGGACAGCTGGTGGCATTCGATGCTGATTCTGCCACCGCTGCTGAAGGAGAGCCCGGCCAGCCCCTTCCTGGCCGCCTACTACCCGGACTGCGTGGGGATGAGTCCATCTGGCTCGCCCGGCAGCGTGTCGCTGGCTGAGCTGAGGGCGGATCCCTGCAGAGCCGTGCAGCCGCAGAGTAAGAGCACATAGCCGGTGGGAGCAGGACCCTTAGGCTGACTGAGGCTAACTGTGGCTGACTGGCTAACTGTGGCTAAACAGCTTACTGTGACTAACTGTGGCTAAATGGCTAACTGTAGCTAACCAGCTGACTGTGACTAACTGTGGCTAACAGTGGCTATGCCCTCAGTTCCAGGCCTGTGCCCATACTTCCAGCCCTTCTACCAGCCCAACGAGTGCGGCAAGGCCCTGTGCGTGCGGCCGGACATGATGGAGCTGGACGAGCTTTACGAGTTCCCAGAGTTTTCCCGCGACCCCACCATGTACCTGGCCCTGCGTAACCTGATCCTGGCATCCTGGCACAGGAAGTGCACGGTAAGCCTGCAGCAGCCTGTGGGCAAAGTCGCCTTCAGGGCCAGTCAGATTTATCTGAGTAGCAGTGCTGTACTCATGACATTTAAGAGGAAAACCTCATTAAACGTTTAAATCAGGAAATTGAGAAGAAGCTGAACAACATTAAGCAAATCAATGGAATATAAATTAAAAGTGAAGAGACTAAAGATTTCCAGCCTTCAGATCACAGATAAACAGACGTTTTAAGCCTGGATTTAAACATTCAGAGCTGAGTTCTGTCTCTCCTCTTCAGGAAGACTGATCCAGATTTTAGGGGCATAAAACTAACTAAATCTGCAGCTGGATAAGAGTCGGATCAGAGCCCAGTGAGCAACTGTTTCAGCTGGAGTTCTTCTGGTGTTTTTCAGATGCTAAAAAGCTGCTGATGCAGGTCTGAGTCCAGCATGCTGGTTCATTCTAACCTGCTTTTTAGTTTTAGAGCGTCTGAAGGTGAATGGTGACCCTCTTTGTTCCACCTAAAGCCACATTTTCTCCTTTTTTGTGCTGATTTCAGCCCTTTTGAAGTCTCTTCATCTTAAAATCAGCTCAGTTTTTTTCCCTGACTCGTGTTCATTGTAAAACAAATCGCATAAATTCTGTTAATTTTTTTGTAATTGTCTGTGCAGGAGGTGCTGACGGCTCAGAGGTGTGCGCAGCACATCGTGGTTCGGGGGCTGGTGCGTGTGCGCTGCGTGCAGGAGCTAGACCGGGTGCTCCGCTTCATGACCAGGAAGGGGCTCATCAACACCGGCGTGCTGGCTGTGGAGCGGCCGCTGCTGTCGGAGGCATGCTGTGCTATGAGCCTGCCACGCCCCCGTTTCCCCCGCACTTTCCCCATTTCCCCCTCATACACGCCCCCCGTTTCCCCCTCACACACTCCCCCGTAACCCCTTCACACACTCCCTGTTTCCTCCTCACACATACCCCTGTTCCCCACCTCATTTCCCCCTCATACACACACACACACACACCCTGTTCCCCCCCCCATCCTTCTCACCCGTCACGTCTACTCGTCCTGTGCAGCGGAAGGCCGTCGTGGTCGTGGGCGCCGGTGCGTCGGGACTAGCTGCGGCACGCCAGCTGCACAACTTCGGCTTCCAGGTGCGCTCTCTCACACCTCCAGCTTCTTCCAAACTCCTCTCCCTTAAGTTCTCCATCTTGCAAGTCTATTCAAAATTATGTCAAAAAGTATGTTATACCAGAAGGGCCAAAATAAACACCTTCAAGCAGTAATGGATTCCTGTTTCCTCCCTGGACTCAGACAGAGCCCTGTGTCCTTCCCTCGGTGACTAGTCTGGTTCTGATAGTCACACTACATCCCCCCTTCGGTTTACAGGTGGTGGTGCTGGAGGCCAGGGACAGAATCGGCGGCTGGGTGTGGGACGACGCGTCCCTGGGGCTCACCGTGGTTCGGGGAGCCCAGTTGTCAACGGATGCGTCAACAACCCGATCGCCCTGATGTGTGAGCAGGTGAGAGCTCCCGAGTTCTGGATCGTATCTGGACTCCCTTCTTCTCACTGCGGATCCTCGCTGGTGGAACAAACTCACAAGAGTCATCAGAGCATCTAGATAGATAGATAGATAGATAGATAGATAGATAGATAGATAGATAGATGGTCCTTCCGGAGTATATCTGGTCCTAAAGCTCTAAATGCTCTTTTGTCCTGATAGCATGTAGCATCAATGGATGCTACCTGTGTAATCCATGTTCTAGTTGAATGTTAAACCCTTAATATTAAATCCTCTTCTAGCATATCATTGTTAAGCTACGCTTAAAGTGGAACTGGAGTTGGAGCTGAATGTTAAACCTTTATTTCCTGAGTCACTTTGGATAAAAGCGTCTGCTGGATGCAGAAAGGTGAAAGTAATCAAATGTGTATTGATGTGAAGGGACCAGGTTTCTGACTTTGTGTTCAGGTTAGAGCTTTTCCGAAGACAGCGTCCTGTGACGTCCGGTTTGGCTGCAGCTCTGCTTTGGCCCATTGTTTGTGCGTCTCTGCTGCAGATGGGCCTGAAAATGCACAAGCTGGGGGAGCGCTGTGACCTCTTCCAGGAGGGCGGGCAGGTGGCCGACCCAGCCATCGACAAACGCATGGACTTCCACTTCAACGCCATCCTGGATGTGGTGTCCGAATGGAGGAAGGACAAGTCTCAAAGCCAGGACAGGCCGCTGGGAGGTGTGGCCACACATGGCTTTTCCTGTCTCATTCCACTCCCACCCCTCTGTCTGGTGGGTTAAACCATCCCTCGTTCGCTCCTCCTGGAACCTGCCGGCGTTGGGTCGACGTAAAGGAAACATTAGATCAATAAAAACAAGGCCGTTAATCAGCCATCTGTGATCCTTTTGGGTTTTATTAGCTGTTTAATAACCAAACCTCATTGATCTTATTAAACCTGGTTATTGAGTGGGCAGCTTAAAGGGTGATTTCTTCCCTTTTGAAGAAACTTTTTTCTTTTTCTTTTTGGATGATTTCAGCCCTTTGAAGTCTCTTTATTTTAAATCATCTAAGGTTTGTTTCCTCTGACTTGTGTTAATTGAAAAATCCCCTAAATTCCTGCAAAGCCATTAGCAAATTTTACTGAATGATTCCTTTTTTATCAGCATATTTCCCCCTGAAGGAGCAATTGAAAAGAGTAACTTTTGTCAGTCCTAAACTGTCTTAGTTTGCCTCAAAGTTCTTTAAATGGGACCTATCCTTGTTCTCGATGAAAATTTAAGGACACTTTCTCTTCTTTGGCCTCGTTTGGGGGTTCGGCTCCATGAACTAATTAAAGTTGTGGTTTTTGTGTTTTGTCCCCACAGAAAAGGTTCAGGAAGTAAAGAAGAACTTTCTGCAGGAGTCTGGGATCCAGTTCAGTGCGCTGGAGGAGAAAGTCCTTCAATTTCATCTCAGTAATCTGGAGTACGCCTGTGGCAGCACCCTGGACCAGGTCTGGAAGGCCTCCTCTGCTCAGGGGTCAGACAGATGCTCTTTATTTGATCTGCTCAAACCGGTCAGATGGCGTCCTTCCTCCTCTGGCTGGTTTGTGGGATCATTCAGGGCCCCCCCCCCAGGGCTCTTGACTGTGCCCCCTCTCAATTAACAGCTTCCCCTTAACGATCCCTCCCCTAATTATCGGCCCCGCCGATAATTAAGGATCCCTCCCCTTAATAGCTCCCCCCTTAACGGCCCCTCCCCTCACAGACTCCTTGTGTCAGAGTTTAACAGAACCGGCCCACAAAGCCCCCCTCCCCCTTAGTCTCACTGGACTAAAAATGCTGGTTCTGTGTGCAGGTTTCGGCCCGGTCCTGGGACCACAACGAGTTCTTTGCCCAGTTCTCGGGAGACCACACCCTGCTGACCAGGGGCTACTCGGTTCTTCTCAACAAACTGGCCGAGGGCCTGGAGATCCACAGGAACTGTCCGGTTCGTGCCCCCCTTCTGGACCCGGTGGCACCACAGATCAGTCTGCCTCTACTGAAATGGGTTTTTGGTTCCAGGTCCAGACGGTCGATTACTCGGGGGACCTCGTGAAAGTGACCTCATCAAACGGGTCGCAGTGGATGGCCCAGAAGGTAGAGGCTCTGAAACAAGCCCACTGGGTTACAGGACCAAAGGCTCTGGGTTCAGGTTCATCTCTAAAGCAGCAGATGACAAAAGATTTGACCTCTGATCCGGTTCAGTTAAGCCGTCAGGATCCAGGTATTCCAAATGGGTCCAGCTCGTTCATAACCAAGGACACCAGCAGAACCAGGAAGAGATCTCCATCAGGACCAGAACCAGGAACAAACCTCCATCAGAACCAGAAGAAACCTCCATCAGAACTAGGGAAAAAGTTAATCAGAACCAAAACCAGGACAGGATGATATGGGGGACAGAAATACGTTTGATTCAGAGGGCAGGTTCTGTTCAGGGATCCAGTCCTCATCGGGCTGCTTTCTCTTCCAGGTTCTGGTCACCGTCCCGCTGACCCTGCTCCAGAGGGGCCTCCTCCACTTCCACCCCCCCCTTCCTGAGAGGAAGCTGAAGGCCATCCACAGCTTGGGAGCCGGCATCATCGAAAAGGTACCTCCCATCCCCGCCGGCCCGCCTCCAGAGGCTGTCGGTGCCCAGCAGCTAAACCTCAGTCCGAACGTCCCGCAGATCGCTCTGCAGTTCCCGACCCGGTTCTGGGACTCCAAGATCCAGGGAGCCGACTACTTTGGTCACATCCCGCCGGCACCGGAAAAGCGAGGCCTGTTCAGCGTCTTCTACGACCTGGACCCTCAGGTGTGTTTTTAAAGCCATGACCAAGGAGGAGCCGACTGGTTCTGGATCAGAGGGTCGGCTCCTCCCCCTCAGGGTCACTGAGGCATCATGGGAGTCTGAGTATCTGCTCCAGATGTGTGTGTTTAGACTGGGAGGAGAATGAAGGACCCAGTCCTGTGAGGTTCTGGGTATCCGATCCCTGAAACCAAGCTCAGACCCTTTGAGGCCCTGGCTGATGTAACTGTGTCCAACAGGGGAAGCAGGCGGTGTTGATGTCGGTCATCTCTGGCGACGCCGTTCCTGCTGTCTGCGAGCTGGAGGACCAGGAGGTGGTGGGAGAGTGCCTGAAGGTCCTGAGGGAGCTTTTCCCCGAGCAGGTGAGCACCGGTCAGGGGTCCGGTCGGCCACAGCATAGAGGGTCAAGGGTCAGCTGAGACTACCAGGGGCGCAACTAGCTACATGCTGAGGGGTATGCAGACTCATTATTATCCTTGTTGGAGATCTGATTGGACGCTGCATAAACTCAGTTAAGACATCTAAACTCAAGTGTATCATTCCCCAGTTGAACCATCTCCCTGCTTAAGATGCTGCCCCCCAACCCGACCACAGATAAGCGATGGATGATGGAAGGGTAGAAAACTAAAGGGTTATTAACCCTTTCCTGGCCCCACAGCCCCGACCTCTGCTTGCATCTCCATTCATCCCTGTGGAGGGATCACCCTCAGCCCTCCCTGTGATCATCGGCTCTTTGGGCCACTTCTCTCATATTTATCAGCATCAGAACCATTAACTATGCAGCTTAAAACACACCTGATTTCTTGGAGGTCAGAACCAAACCAGGAGAGGCTTCATTTCAGTTTGATGCTCCTCAAATCTGAATCGGTCTTCTTGAAGAGGTGAAACAGGGTTACTACAGCTGAATTTTTTTTAGCCTTTAATCTATTTATTTTATTTGGTTAAACTTATTTTATTTGTTTTCTTTATCTTCATTGTCTGCTTTTAAAATGTAAGGTACTTTGAGTTGTCGTGGAAACAAAACTCAAACTGTAACATAAACCTGTCTCGCCTAATTTTGGATGGGATTTCCCCTCCGCTTGTGGATTAAAGGTCCTCTTCCTCCCACAGGACGTCCCAGACCCTGTGAACTACTTTGTGACCCACTGGAGCAAAGACAGGTGGTCTCAGATGTCCTACAGCTTTGTGAAGACGGGCGGCAGCGGGGAGGCCTACGACGTGCTGGCCGAGGACGTGCAGGGAAAGCTGTTCTTCGCCGGAGAGGTAACTCTCCTGCCTCCTCCTGAGCCGCCCAACGCCGCCATTTGGCAGCTCGTTTTCACGCTTTGCTTCACACACACCTGAACCAGCACAAACCCAGAGATTCAACCGGCAGCAGTAAGAATCCTAAAACCAGGCACCAATCGGGTGCTGAAATTAAAACCAGATCAAACGCAACATCTGGCAAAAGTTTGAATTACTCCAAAATGTCACAGCTCCTGTAATACACAGAGAAGGAAGATGATTACTAAATGGAGTAGATTTGGATTCAAGCTGAAGCCCAAAGGCAACAGAAACTTGGTGTTTTTGCTGTGTACAACAAGCTGGCCAGAGGGGCTGAATTCCTGTTTTCTGTTCCGGCCAATCAGGGAGTAGAGCTCTCTTCTTCTTTGGGCTTTTTTCCTCTGGTCAGGATTAACTGACTTTCAGACAATCGACCATCTCTGACCCCTCGACTGACCCCTCCCCTTAAGAAGTTTCAGGATGAGAACAGAGATTTCTTTAAGCTCCAAGAAGTCCAGCTGCCTGCCCAACCCAAACTACCTCAACCAGTTGGTGACAAAAGAAATGAGAAAATAAAATGAACTCTGCGGGCTGAATATTGTCACTTAAACTCAGTGAGGACAGGAAACGGATCACCAGCTCACCGAGTCCGCTGACTGTTTCAGGATTCAGGCTTCAAGAAGCATCAGGATGTGAGGAGAAAAGTCTCACAAGAAGAAGAAGAAGTCCAGCTGGCTGTGTTTAGGCTCTGAGCATCAGTAACCCAGCTAATGTTCAATATGTGACTGTGTTTGATTCCACTGGTTTTAAACCAGGTTTAACCTTTCATTATTTGTCATTTCTTTTCCCACCAGGCCACCAACCGACACTTCCCTCAGACCGTGACGGGGGCCTACCTCAGCGGGGTCCGAGAGGCCAGCAAAATGGCTGCTGTGTAAGCCGGCGGCCTCGCAGCCCTTGGACGCCGGCACCGCCAGACGGATGGCCGACACGGCCGGCGTGGAGCTGAGCGCCTTGGAGCTGAGTGGCGGCATACCTCTGCATCAGGGTCCAGCAGGGCTCTCTGCACCTGCTTTCACACACTTAGCACAACAGCAGGGGAGCTGCTCTATATTTATATCAAATCCCATCAGGGAAAGTGCTTTTTTTAAAATCGAAAACCACCTCAAAGTGCAGCTCTGTCAGATTCTGGGAAGCAGGACGCTGTTTTTACTCCACTTCAGTTCACAGTCAGCACTTGCTTTGATTTGCTTAAAACTTTAGGAAAACTAGGTCTTTAATCAGGAATACCTAAATAACTTTAATATCCTGGGATTATGGTCGTGTGATCGGGTCTAAAATATCGTTAAACACGGTGTAGTGAGGTAGATTTATTCTTTCTGTGGTTTAGACGGTTAGACTTAGATATGGAGAACTTGTTTCATGTCGTTGGATTTTTCGAAACGTTTAAAGGAGGAATTCGATCAGGACACATCAGCCGTCCCATTTCTTTCTCAGGGATGTTATCATGAAATCAAATAAGCCCATACGGTGAGAAAAGAGTGGAAAAATAATGAGAATGGACAGTGTTGGATTTAAACAGCTGTTGATGCCGGCGTGTGACTCCTTTCTGTCTCTTCCTGTGTGTCTGAGGCCTGAATATTTATCCTGTATGTGTCTAATAAACTGAGCTCAAAACTGCCGAAAGAAGCGGTTTCACTTGCATTGAGTGTTTCTGCCCTCCTCCGTCAAAAAGTCAGATCAATTCTGATTATTTCTGTTCTACATTTGGTTCTTTCAGTGTGTCTGTGACTGACATGGATATACAGATGGTTTAGCATAAAATAGTCCTTAAATGATCCCTGGTGGTAATATCACAATTTTTTAGTTGGTTTCGTTACTTGTTCCCTATATCTTAACTAATTTCGTTGGAAAAATGTTTTACATCTACTATGAAAAAGATTGCCAGAACAGAACAACCTCAGTCATAATAAAAACACGCAATAAGGACCAGAAAATCTGACATTTTGAACCTTGAAAAAAAAAATCTTTGTTTAGATGTTTCAAAGATGTATGTATGGATGCATGCATGTATGTATACATATATATATATAATAATTGTGAATTTAAAAACGATTAATCAAAATCAGTTAAATGTAAATGTTTGTGCTCTGTATCCAGAAAGCCACATCTACTTTTCAGGATCTGGTTATTATGGACACAGATTACATGTTAAATTTCAATATTTCAGTATTTATATCACAGAAACAGTTACAGGCTTTACTAGCTAAAAACACTCAGTATCAAAAGTACAGATGCTGGTTTACATTAAAACTGTATGTATGTATGTATGTATGTATGTATGTATGTATGTATGTATGTATGTATGTATGTATGTATGTATGTATGTATGTATGTATGTACAGTGGGGGAAATAAGTATTTGACCCCTTGCTGATTTTGCAGATTTGCCCACTTACAAAGAATGCAACGATCTATAACTTTAATCATAAGTACATTCTAACAGTGAAAGACAGAATCCCAAAGAAAATTCCAGAAAATCACATCATATGAATTTATAAAAATTGATAACCATCTGATGAGGAAAAATAAGCATTCTTTGTAAGTGGGCAAACCTGCTAAATCAGCAAGGGGTCAAATACTTATTTCCCCCACTGTCTGTCTGTCTGTATGTATGTATGTAATGTCCCCCTAAATTTTACTTTATATTTTTAAAACAGTCATATTCATTCTATATTATAAGTACAGTTATAAGCTACTTGTACTTTTTTCCTTGTTTACAGTTTAAAATGAAGATTTGAAAGACTAAATGTCATTTTAAAACTTTTACTTGTTTTCCCATCTGGAGTTTCCCTAAATGTTTTGAAAACCCCTGATTTTTTTTTTTTCCAAATTCCAGAGTGATTTAAATTTGCTCAAATGGCAAGATGGCGGACTCTCACTGCAACGCACGAACAAGGTAAGGAGCCGGAGGGGGGGGCTACCGGGCAACCGCGCTACCGGGCAACCGG